TTTTGTCAAATTTTTCGATCGTTTACTTTTTTGTAACTCTATTCACTTTTGTTTTTTCATTCTGTTATTAATACTTTATTGATAACTTCAAGTGATACATATTGACTTATAAAGATATCATAGAGATCAATACAATTAGTTCTATTAGCACTATTTCTATTTCAAAAAAAATGAATATCACATTATTCAAATAATTTGATTTTAGTTAATTAATAATCTTATGTTTAGAATCATTCTCCAACTCTTAATAATTATTAAATCACATACTAAGTCAATAAAAGTAAGCTCATAAACGATTGTAAATTTTCAAATATTGATGTGAGAGTATCTAGTGTTATTCACAACTGAGACATATATTTACATCCTCAGTTCTTCTTAATTAATGTAATAAAATTCCAAACTCCTTCAAGAGGTCGAAATTCATTCATCTTGTCTATTGAGATTTAGTCTAGTTCAATCCTTAAGCTCACGTAAAAGTGCCAAAAAATGACAAATTAGTTAAAAAGAATCATATATCGTTAAGAAAACCAATGAGAAAAGTTGATATCATTAATATACACTACTGTCATTCATCATAGTATAGAATGAAGTGATATATTCATAATTTCGTGTACAGCAAGACTCGTATAAAATGGTGGATATCAAGATATTCAACATGTGGTCGTCTTAAATATAAAAAATGTCATTGTAACTTGGATTATCAAAGTTTAACGTCAAACATCAACCTCAACATATTTGTCAAAGTATTTTAAATCTACAAGATCACTTTTAATCAGAATCGATCAATACACACAAAATTTCATAATATATATCATCCAAACCACAAACTTTGACCTGGTCTAGCCTGTTAAATAAGAATAATGTTATTGCAACATTCCTCGTCTATTTTTAGTTTGTTGTTGTTTTTTTGTTGCTTCTTGATATTATTGATCGTCTATGCATGATGGTTTGACGTATTCTTGTCAACCCTTATTATCTCTGGCCTTTTTCTTCCTTCTTGTATAAATTTTGCATCGCTAATTAGTTTATCGTTCATGTCTTCTTTCCTCATATTTAAATTATCTTCTTTCATAGTCTTGCTATTGTTGTCTTTCTCCATCTTTTCTCTTTCTCGTTTCCTATATCAGCAATGAATGATGTAGAATAAATAGAAAATAAAAGATTAAGCTAAAATTGTTTTTAAAAAGTTAATGCCTTATTAATCGAAAAACTAAGGCCATGGGTATGGCATATATTGCATCAGATCTAGAATGATGTTATTGACTGGAATTGAATGATTATTAGTCACTGATTACAAGCAATAGAGATGAGTCATGTATGTTGAATTTCTGTGCAACTTTAAATGTATTGGCGGTGAACAGTATTCAGAATGTTATGATGCTTTCCTCTGTCTCAAACCGTTTTTTTTAAGTTGCTTCTCGTCGAAACTAGTATTTTGAAAGTTATTTTCTCTAAAATTTTAAATGATCGATTGCTTGTTTTACGCTTCAATGAATGTTATCTAGCTGCAATAGTTACATCAAATGTTATAGGTACAATATCTCTGTGTCTAACTCATTCGGATTGAATATACAGTTTCAACATTGTGCAGATTTTTTTTTTATTTAACAGTCCTATTAGAGGACATAGAAAAACTTAGTAGAACAAGAAGTTATGTAATGCATGACCTTTCCTTCTATTTCAGCGTCTTTTCTGTATTGATATTGAACAACAATGCATAACAATTGTACAGTCTGTTCGATGGTGCTATAGAAGTCTCAGATTATATACACAAGAAAAGAAAGATAAACAAGAAAAAATTTTATCACATGATCATGTTGTACTATTGATGAAATATCAAAGACATATTCAAGACAAAATGAGGTCAATGACATATCCTTTGTTGTCAACTACAACATGACAGGAAGAAAAAAAAGCATTGTGATATTGCTTTTCTCAGGAGAAAGAGAAAAGTAGTTGATATCAGAGTTCGACTCGGATCGAATCACAAAAGTTTGACTAATGTCGAGCAATACAACTTATGGAATAGTAGATGACATGATTGTGACTCAAAACTATTAGATTTGTCAACATCACAACATGTTCAACACTCTATGTCAAACAGTGACAGATGATGAAACATTCTGTAAAAATAAATGATGAAATTGACAGCATCTTTTCAGATATATTCTACAAAGTGTAAATACGTTAAGAATGCGAAAATTTTCTTTATATTAATTCATCTTCTACCGTTAGAACATACATAAAATTCCGTCTAAAATCATTTCAGTGTGATGTATTCTTACATGACGACAGATCGCTAACCGTTGACATTCTCATCTCTTCTCCTTGCAAAACTCTATATCCGCACATCTGAAGAAATATGGTGTCTTTGGTTTACATTGCCCAACAATATACACTATACGTCGGTTTTTTTCTTTTTATAATCGGTGTTTTTGGCAATTTCATGATTCTATTGATATTTTCAATGGATCGTCAATATCGTACCACACCATGCACATTCTATTTTCTCATTGGTTCTCTACATGACTTGCTTCTTATTTTAACTGTTTTCGGTGTACGTGTAGTGAGTATTGGTTTCGACATCGATTTGACTCGAATTTCAGTCACTTGGTGTAAGGCTCGATACTATTTTTTTTGCACTTGGGCTGGTATATTGTTAACTTGTCAATGCTTAGCAACGTTCGATCAATATCTTATCACATCAAAAAATGCTCGTCTTCGTCGCTTGAGCACTATAAAAAATGCTCATCGAATTGTTGTAGTAACTCTTATTATTTGGTGGACACATAACATACCATGGTTGATTTATCAAGACATATCAACAATCAGTGGCACATGCATATATATCAGTTCGATTTTTCATCGTTATGTCATCTTTTTTAGTTTGTTTACTCTGTGCTTGCTTCCAAGTGTGTTCCTGGCCGTTTTTGGGTTTCTGGCCTATAGAAATATATCCCAAACGACGACTCTGAGTAAAAAGAATACACATCATCAAATGACAATCATGGTTTGTTGGCAAATCTTCCCAGTCATTTTGAGTGGAATATTTAATGGTGGCTGGAATATTTACACACTCGCTACTTATGACATGGTAAAAAATGTTGATCAATTGCATAAAGAATATTGGTTTCAATCGAAGATTGCTCTCTTGGCGTATTTAGGGAGCTCTGTAAGTGATATGTATATATATATACATGTATATGTAAAGTAAAAAAAAATGGTAAAATCGGTCTTTTGTATTTGAATAGGCACGATTCTATTTATTCTTAGTTGCTTCGAATCGCTTTCGTCAAGTAACTAAACAATGGCTCTACTGTTGGCGATCAGACCATCAAGTTCCTTCCAATGTCAACGAAATTGTGGTGACAAACGACTGACACAATGATTCACCAAATTAAATTGCTTATGATTGAATATATATATATATATATGCTTATTTTTTTTCTAATAAAAAGAGCTGCTGTAGTCTCTATTCCAGTTTAGAACAACTCTTTTAACAGTCCTTCATTGGCATAATCGACAAAATGTTCACCATCGAAGACCAGCAGTGACCACTCATTCGTAATTCGAGAAATTACTCTATGTTCATAAATAATAGCAAGAACCCTCACAGACAACAACTGTTTCTATCTCGCTAATAACCGTATGAAATGATAACAAATGGTTGAAGTTCCATTTCCGGATGTCGTTTCGATTCATTATTAAGAACTTAACAACAAGTTGTCCCATACCCTAGCCTGATTATCTGCTAAAACTACTAAACAGACATCAACTACAAGACAAGTTCTTTTGCTAAATCTTTTTTATTAGGTAGACAATTGGCTTGAAATACTCTTTGTATAACTAATACATATTTGGCTTGTATGTGAATGACAAGAAAGAAAGAGAAACTGGAACAAGCTGTGTACGTCTTAACGTTAAATTCTTTCTAAGAATCAGATCATACATGTTGGAAAAGCCTGAAAATTCGGAAACCTAAATCGCGTTTTGTCTTTCATAATACTCTTTTTCTATGTACTTAGATTTGCATACCATCTATTTGACAGATTCAGTAGCGACCAGGGTATTTATTGCTTAATTCGGTGTAGAAAAAAGGGTAAATCAGGTAATCAAACATTAACAGAACAGAAAATATTAAAATTCAAAAGAAGATATATTGCCAATAGCAGATCGAAAAATGAGAAATATCCGCACAATGCTTTATATACAGACTAGCCTAAAAGTGACTATATCAAGAGAAAATTGAATATCTGTGTTACGAGTCGAGCAAGCGTGTTGATTTTTTTTAGTCTTTACAAAAATTTTACTTTTTCACAGATAGAAAAACAATAATGTACTATGAAGAAGAACTAGTTTATAAAGATAAAATACAAATAATCAAATGAATTTTTGACTATTCTGCGCTGTTCATTTCATAAGACTTTCTCTTATATTTCTTCTTTCGATCTACTATAGTCCATGTACATCGTCTGCGCGATGCTAGTTGTCATAGCGCACATTCGAATAGTGCAAGAAGTCAGTGTTGTAATTTTTATTTAATTCACTATTAGCAACTAGGCACACTATTTTTTTCGTATCCAGTAATAGATCAAGTTGTTTTTTCTTCTATTGCACACAAAGAAATATCCTACAGTTTTTCGCAATGGAGGAATAAAACATATTTCTATTAAAAAGATTGCAGCTAGTCATAGTCAATCTTCATCGAAAACCAGCAAATATGTGTCAGACAAACTTGTATAACATGAAGGCTACATTGTACATCAACAAAAATATAATTAGCCTAAATTAATCAAAAATTTCAGTCATTATATATAGATAGTTCATAACTTTATTTATTCAATGAATACGAAAATATAAGCTAGTTTTAGAAAAAAAAATTTCAATTTCAATACTAATTCTACGAAATTTCGGGCAGATGCTTAAATAGAATTATCAGAGAAAAAACAAATCATATTTGTCTAGATTGTAGAAATAATATTTTTACAAGTCATATCCATTTAAACTGATGTTGAACATTCAATATATTTTGGATTAAACGATTGAAATGGATATTTTCTTATCTTATTACGAGAATCGATATCTTTGGATAATTCTTGTAATTCTTGTTTAAAAGTCTGATAATTATGTAAATTCTTCGAATAATATCGATTACGTTCTATTAAATGACTCCAATCTTCCAAGATACCAGGCATACGTAAACCAGTAATAACTGATAAAACTAATATTTGTGAATATGTTTGAATATTTTGCATTTCCTTGCCTTCTTGTAATTTAGCTCCAATGAATCGTGGATCCGTCATATAATCACTTATTTGACCAACATGTTCATGTATGCCTGTACTAGCAGCAATTAATTGTGATAAAACATCGATAAAACGTTGTAATGAAGTAATGCCTGAAATGCCAAGTTGTTTGCATATTTCATGAATAAAATTCATAATATATGAATCATTGGGTATATGATTATTTCCATTATCAACAGATAAATTATAATTGATCTTGAAAAAATTATGAACATATTTTCGTATGATATTCCAATATGCATTAAGATCATGATAAATAGGATAAATTTTGTCCCATTCATCATCTGTTCTATTATTCTTATTTGGATGCATTGATTCAGAAATACAATTTGGTAGTGTACGAAATTTATAATGAATAGATATATAATCGCATACTTTAAGAAATTCATCATAATCAAATGCCCATATTCTATGTACTAAACCACACTTATTAACTAATGATAATGCAGCTTGATAATTAACTGATATGGTATGATAAGTAAATGGTTTTATAAAAATTCGTAATGGATGATCAGCTGGTAAATGTTTACGTGATGCACTTACAAATGCATTACATTCGATCATGTGTGTAGAAATTAAATGATCACCTATTGTAACATATGCAAAAAATGATGAACGCCATACATATTTTGCATGATCCCAAAATTGTTCATCTTTTTTAACTAAACAAGAACCATGAGACCAATAAATGCCAATAATTTGAAAATCTTTATCAAAATAGGCGGCAGCACCATAACGTTCAAATGGTTTTCGAACAGAAAAAGTTGATAAACCAGTCATATCGTTCACATAGACAGCATCGTTTAAAAGTTTACCTTCGGGTATACCATGACCAGAAAGCCATGATTGTTCAACTCGTTGAGTATAATGGCATGCACATCCAGCAAAAGCTAATTGAGTCATAGCTTCATCTGATAAAATATCTGTATAAACAATATTTGGTATCGGTAATGCAGCAAACATTTTTGAACGCCATGCAAGTGCTTGTTCAAGTGTATCGAATTCTATTAATGAATCACGAAAATCCCATATGTTTTGATTCATTAGCCAACGAGCCAAACGTCTCAATAGTGGTGAACCATTTGGCTTATCTTCATCCCAACTTGGTACAAATTTAGCCATATCAATACGAAATATACCTAGGTCATGTGTTGGTAAATCTAATGGTGGTTGAATATCAATAGCACGTGCCGGAAATGAGTATGATTCCTTAACGGCTAATTGCATTAGTAACATTATTATTTTGGTGTAATTATCTAATGCATTGTAACAACTTCGATCTCTTTCATTAAATTGATTGATGGTTAAATTTGATAAAACCCATTGTCGTTCATTTTCATCAAATATTTCATTAGAAAATTCTTTTGAAATCAGTGATTGTATAGTCGTGTCCTTTTCTAATATATGATCTGATTGTTGAGACTTGCTGTCATCATTTGGATTACGCGTAGTCGTTGGAAAATCTAAAAAAAAAGATATTTATATATAAATATACATTTCAATGGAAAACTACGAAATGATTAGTGATTAATAGAAGATTTACCTTTTTTCTCTAAATCATAATTGTCATTAGTATCAAATGAAGGTGGTGCAAATCGTTCAGCTACATATTGAATAACATCGAGTGATAGATCGTGTCCTGGACAATAGCGTACTGGTCGTTTTGTTTTATCGACATTCATAATGTCTTCCTCGACACCATTCCATACAATAATTTTATTCAAATCAGATCTTTCTGGCATAAAATCATTAGGATTTTGAAATATTGTTTTGTCACGGTTTGCATTGACTGTTGAACAATGAATAGGTGTATTCGGATAAATATTGATATTTTCATTTTTCTGCTTAAATTCATTTTCGATTTCATTAGCAATATCATGTGTGGCTAAAACATTTACCATTGGTACAACTTTATCAAGTCGTGCACATTCTTTAATAAAATTGTGCGGATTTTTTCGAAATAAATGAACATATTTTTCTGGATTTGACCATAATCTTTCGATAACAGTTACTGCTAATTTAGATGGAGCAATACTTCCTGCAACACAAAATACGATAGTAATTAATTTTAATACTTCAGATTTTGATTTTTGATTGTCGGCTGCAGTAAAAGCAGCACATAATGCTGATCCATCAATGTGTCGTGCAAATGCTTGAAGTAGTGTGTAATAACTTTGTAAAGTTTTTCGTTCGAAATAATGTCCAAATAATAAGAAATTGAACCAATTCGGAAAAAATATAAATGGTTTTTCGACACAATCAATAAAAGCAATCCGTTCATTTTTTCTTAATTCACCATCCGTTGCCAAGAAAAACATGACTTCACCGATTGCTTGATATACGATATATTTGCTTGGTTGTTCATCGATTTTACGTGGTACAATTCTAGATAAATGAAGTCGTGCTTCAGAATCTTCCTTGAATAGATGATGAGGAAAGGCATGTAGCCATTGAAAAATAATATGACGACTTAGTTTCATATTTGGATTATCTGATGAAAGAAATACAGTCGTTAAATCACAAAATGTTTGTTGAGATGAAGAAACTTTCCAGCCTAACGATTCAAAACCTTTACACGGTGGAATATCTTGTATATATCGTTTCACTAATTCATATGAACCAACACCAATACCATCGCCAAATATAAAATATGGTAGATCGTAAACTTTTGAAAAATAATCTTCTAATGCATGGAATAATGCATTTGGATTCGATTCATTTAGAATATATTCAATAAATGTTGCTAATTGTAAAAACAAAAATTTTAAATGCCAAATAAAATTCCTTTTAGCCATTGATGTTGTAATTAATTTTAATCTCATTGTTGCTGTAACATTACGAACATATTCAGGAATTCTCTTGTTTGGAATTGCTTGTGACTTTGCATCTAGCTGCTGTATTAATGCCGATGGAGTTCGATAAGTAATACGGCAATAAATGATTAAAATAATGTAAACTGGCAAAGTAAAAAAGAATAAGACCAACAATCCAAGTATACCGAGTGCAAAATGGTAGATTTTACGTAGAAATTTCGAAAAATTATCACCAAATCGAACGTAATGAGGATTGAATAAATCAGTTTGAATTTGATACATATGCGATTTTTCAATGAAGTCTTGATAATTTTTCATATGTATTCGACCTTCAATTCGATATTTTTTCAAAAAGGTAACTTTGGCCATTGTATACAATAAAAATCCAAACGGTGCTGCCATAAAAGTTGTTAACAGAATTCCAGTAAAAACAATTCGTCCAAATGTCCACGATCTATCGATATAATGTCTGCCATTTGCATTACTCGTAATACTATAAGCAAAACTATATCCACTATAAAAATCGTACACCATCCAACGACCAATCCATAAATCCATAACATGCAAATGATTAATGGTACCAATGACTAATAATGGATCTTTCAATAAATCGAACCATCCTGATAATTGAAAAACATTGAATAATGGATTCTTCGAGTTTCGAAAGAATAATGTTTGAAATAATATTAATGTATACAATAGTGATAAAAGAAAAGCTGATAAAAAAATTAAGTATTTTGATAATTTGTGAAAAGGTGCAAATATTAATGCAAGCCATCCTATAACAATAATGTTACTCCAATTAAATAATTGATCAATTGTCCACGGAATGATGATCATTATGAAGAATTATTTCGAGTTATGTATCAAAGCGTGTACACTTTCTCGTTTTTGTTAATGGACAAAGTAGATCTAGAAATAGAATATATATATTATGATGAACACTAACAAAATTAAAATTTAAACAGGTTGTAGGTGCCTAGAGTGAATGTGCAGAGTCTATCGATATGCACTAACAAGCATTCGAGAAATTGTTTCAAGTTTTGGGAAATTTCACAAAATGATTGGTCATACAGAAAAGTTTTTCTATTCGGAAATTCGAATAATTATATGTTAAATAATTTGGCTCTTATTTTACGCATTTAATCACCATTCTATAGAGAATGAGATATAACTTATGAAAAACTCTCATTGATTCTTAATAAAAGTTCACTGTTGATAGTGTAACACGGAAATACTAAACAGAAAACAGAGTGTCGCATGTGAGATTTAAGATCTTGCCGAGCATTGTGCCTTGAATAAATAAACAAGTACATACTTTTTGTAAATGTCTACGCAGATTTAAACAGAATTCTTCGACTTGATCAAATATGTCTCTAGATCTATTACTTAATATTAATCATGAACATGCTTACAAAAATAGTATATAGACATTATAAAGGTTCAACACAAGTCAGCTAACTTTCTGTGTAGCATTAAATTCTCTTAGATTTTCAAACAGCCTTGCCATAAAATGGACATAAATTGTTTGGACAAACATGGAATACTCATAGTTCTATGTTGGAAATTAGCGTCAAACCTTACAGATATTTTGCTAATTATTTTTCCCTTTTAACTCATCTCGACTGGTGTCGAATTCAGATGTCCAATGATAATTGTATTTCACTCTGGTCAAACACGATGGCTAATAAAACTATGGTAAACACTGCTGGATGGATAGTAATACGTACCGATAAATATTCGAAGTAAACCAAGTAATAACAACTGAGTATGGGTGTGGCGTTGATCATCTGCTGGTTTTTTGACACTAACACGCACACTCTCATAGAAAAAAAAAGTGTTCTTTTGGATTATGAAAAAGAATCAACCCGTACTCTCTCCCTAAGTGTTTTTATTATTTCGGTGGAAGACTGATCCATCAATGCCTTTTCAGGTTGCGTATCTGATCCTCTGTCACCACAATAGATCCTGCAATACTTCTTTCACTAATTGCTCATTAATTATTGATCAGGGAATCGTTATCATGTGTTAATTATGTATTAATAAACTGTTAATTAGTTTATTAATTAATTAATTAAATGAAGCATCTGATACGGCCTGTGGGGGTTGGAAGGTACAAATTTCTACTCCATATACTTCAACATTCCTTTTTAATCTTGTTTCGCGAAAAAATATCAGAACGACATTCATTCTCTCGCATTTTCATATGAGCGATGGTCATTTTTTTTCTCTTCTAGGCACGCAGCGCATCTATAAAAAAAAAGCTGAGTATAGAATGAATGCAAGAATCTAAGATACTTATCGCTTCAAAATAAAGAAATGGAACAATGATAAACCATTGCAATGTAATCGATTATCATGTTTGCGTTCTTATTATGGTATTAACAAGGCAAAACGCTGAAAAATAAGATTTGATGCCTTTTTTCTTAATAGCATCAAACCAGGAGACAAATGGATAAATACCAAAAGGAAAAACAAATATCTATATATGTAGACATCAGTGATGTATTGAAATTATCATTAGCATGAAGAAAAAAAAAGAAAGTAATCTACTTCAAAATGATAGCATGGAAGTAATATTCGTTGTTTTTCTGTTTCTATTATAATTCTCATTCTTGTATGGGACCGAGTGCTACTTTTTGTCAGCTTGTGTCTAAAGTACAGTCATACGGATGGAAAATAGCTAATTGAAAAAGAGAAGAAAAAGATTGCATCCAGTTCGAGCACATGTATTAATGACTGTAAATAGTTCGAAGGATACACTATGACATCAATATGTCATCATCATCAAGAAAAACAATTCAAGCGAATCAAAACTTTCTAAATCATTTTTCTTATAATACATATCGTGAGAAAGAATGATAATGATGGAAGAAAAATGTTTTTGCACGAAGAACTTGAGTATTTTGGAAATGAAAGTCATGTGATATGAACATATCTTAAAACATGATCTGAAACCTTCTAGCGACCACAAGCACTTGAGTATTAAACAAGCGCTAGTGTTTGTTTGTTCAAGAGAATGTAATATGATTAAATATGGGATATTATTAAGCGGTCAGTAAAATAAATGAAATGGTCAGTAAAATATATGAAATGATCAGTAAGATAAATAGTCAGTAAAAAATGTATAAATGATCAGTAAAAAGTTTAAATGGTCAGTACTTAGATTATCACTCATATAAAAAAAACGATTGGAAAAAATCTGATTTTAATCGATTTTTTTGTGATTAAAAATCGATTAAAATGGGACAGTTTTAACCAGGTTTTTAATCAAACTAGTGATTAAAATAAATTAAATTTATAAATATCCATTTTAACCGATTAAAATTTTTTCATTGCCTATTTTACTCAATTTCAGTCAGATTATTCGATTTTTAATCTATTAAAATCGATTAAAATTTTTAAATCGATTTTAATTAATTCTAATAGTTTTTCTTTTTAAATGAATAAGTACCAATTGATATCGAGTCTTGAAGCATGGAATTTATGTCAAAGGTCGATCTAGCATCATATCTACTAATTTTCCGAGGCAAGGAGTCCGAAAAAGCGATCGAACATCTGAGTTTTCAACATAAAGTTTGAGAAAACGCATTTTACCGTCGCCGCCATTAAAATTAATATTTATAAATTTAATTTATTTTAATCACTGGTTTGATTTAAAAAATCGATTAAAATTAGATTTTTTCCAATCTTTTTTTTATATGAGTGATAGTCTAAGTACTGACCATTCAATCTTTTTACTGATCATTTATATACTTTTTACTGACCATTTATCTTACTGACCATTTCATCTATTTTACTGATCATTTAATTTATTTTACTGACCGCTTAAATAGTAGCCATTAAATATTAGAGAAGTTCTTTTTTCAATGATTTAGCTATTCCCTCGATGTAAATGTCAATAGCTGTCACCTAATTAATGTTAATAGTTCATAAGCAAGTACTTATAAAAAATTGAATATTATAGTTGTTTTTTTGTAACAATTATGCTATACCCCATCTTCACTTCAAATGTGGCTGTGAATGAGAATGTGTGATTGTTAGTTTCGACTATGAGAAGAAGAACTCTTATTCACACGTTCAAGATTACAATCGACTTTAACATGTATAAATGATATTCGAGTTATTCGATATTTACTCGAAATTCATTTTAATCCTTAAATAAAAATGATTCGACGACAAGATATTTTTCTCGAATAATGTCTGTTGCAATTCAATAGTTATTTAATGAATGATGATCATATATATGTTCACAATTAAAACTTTTATTGCAAAATTTGGATCAACCATTTTATTTTAATGAACTTATTAACGAACTGAAAGGAAAATTCAATGCTGAACAACATTCGAATGAACTTGAATTGTTCGATGAACAGAGAACAGATAAATTGCGACCAATTCTATATTTTGTCTCTATTGTTTTCAATATGAAACTATGCTCTTGAAATGATCGAGCAATTACAAAATATCTTTCATTAAAAACTGTCGAATTTAGAAAAGTGTCATTCTTCATATAAATCTCATTTGATCTATCAACTGTATCTAAAAGCTACCAACATCATTTGTTTGCCAAAAAGAAAGATCTATTCAACAAGATCTGAAAATTATGAAGCATATGATTATTAGAGTTTCATTCATCAATTTATACATCGTATCCTAGAAATCACTTAACAAATAGAAACCTGATTATTTCTATTGTTTTTAAACCATAGAAGCTGAAATATTCTTTAGTGATAGAGAACACCTTTAAATTTTTATTTTTATAAAAAAATTTTCAGATATATGTAAAATCTATTAACTTTGACTGATCTACAAAATTTTTTTTTGTACTTTGAAAGCTTTGTACGCGGAATGAATCTTAGAAGGTTGAAAGTTCTTGAGCTTATATTTTGTTCAATCGTAGCGGATCGTTAGAATAAATAATCTCTATAGAATTCTTAATTTTGTTGTCTTCTGATCGAATTATTGAATCTTCCATGAATTCTTTCTTCTCGAACTCTTTAGCGACGCTACTCCAAAATATCATCATATTTGCGAATTTTGAATTGAAAATTTACTTCTACACTTTTCTCTACTAGAATAGTTTGTTTAATATGCTTCAAAATAGTAGAGTATAGTTTCTTTGAGATACAGATTTTTAAAAAACTAGGCGATTTTAAATCGATATTGTTTAAAAAATCTTGATGGTGAAAAATTCAGTGTTCGTTTATTTTTTTCAGAGGAATAGGAACTTCCAAGTGTTCTCAACCACCGGAGAAAAGGGTGGGTCTTCTTTTCACTCACACCCTCTGTAACACGGGTGAAGGTTCATGACTATTCTCTGTTAATCGATGAAAACTGTAGAGGAATAACTGCGTAATTTGTTTCGCGAGATATTTACACTCGTCTATATATTTGCTGTGAATATAAATTGTCATGACTACAGAAACAAGTGCATTTGAAATAAAATAAAAATCCAATCTGTGCTCATGTGTGTTTCTTTTAAAATTTATTTGTTAATAAGTTTGATGTATTCAGAGAAAGCTATCAATGTTTATTCTTGTTTTGCTGCAATTCATTTGCCATTATTTCGGACATTTTGAATTTTTGTGCTTTACCCGTCGGTGTCATAATGAATTGGTCTACAATTCGTATATGTGTCGGTATTTTGAAGAAAGCTAATCTATCTTTAAGAAAATTTCGAATATCCTCCACTTGACATTTAGGTGCATCAGGTTTCAATCTAATCCAAGCACATACTTCTTCATCGTATCGTTCGTTTGGAACCGAAAAGACTTGTGCATCGACTACATATGGATGTTCAGCAATAGTATTTTCAACTTCAACAGGATAGATTTTGACACCACCACGATTAATAATATCTTTTTTGCGTCCAACAAAATAGACATAACCATCTTCGTCCATTTTACCTTCATCACCGGTTCTAAGCCATCGCGATGGTGTGATGGTCTCTTTTGTTTTCTCGATATCACCATAATATTCACGCATCACCGAATGGCCTCTTGTCTGAATTTCACCTGATTTACCGATGGGTACTGTATTGCCTTTTTGATCGACGATTTTTATTTCTAAACCTGGCATTGGTCTTCCGATCGATGAAAGACGACGCTTGACATCTTCGTCACCAGCCCACATACTAGAAGTTATAATACCAGCAGTTTCAGTCATTCCATAGGCTTGCGCCATACGAGTGATTGGAACCTCTTTTTCTAATTGACGTAAAAAATCGATATGCATTGCATTTGCTCCTGATAGACCGAAAACCAATGAAGTAAGATTGTATTTTTTCCGATCTGGATGCATCAATATATCACGAAAAATAATCGGTGCGCCAATAAGTGCAGTACATTTTTCTTCATGAATAGCACGCATAGTAGATACTGTATCGGGTAGAACAGCTGGAAAAGTGAGATGACATTTAGCAACTGCTGCATTGAGGACACCGACCATTTCTGAGAAAATGTGAAACATTGGAATAGGAACACAAAGACGAGTGAAAAATTGACCGAAATGTTCCCATTGACTACGAATCAAATTAATCACACCGGAACTGGTCAATGTTGCAGCCTTTGGTTGACCTGTAGTCCCAGAAGTGTAGAAGATTTCAACGGGTGCATCAGGATCAATGGATGCTTGCCTTTCAATAAGACTTTTGTGAGATAATTGACTACCTCGTTTGATTAAGTCGTCATATGAATGTACACCTGATACCGATATTTGTGTACCAGTTAAAATTACATGTTTTAAAGTAGGAACTGCTTTGGCTGAAAGCTCATTAGTCGACGAGAAATTTTGGCCAAGCTCCGGTACCAATCGGCGAAAAACCTCAAATGTATTGAACGATTTAATCGATGGTGAAAGTAAGATACCTTTACAGCCAACTTTGTTGATACAATATTCTAGTTCTCTTTCAACATAAGCTGGATTGATGTTGACCTAATTGTTAGATTAAAATAGAATAATGAAGTATAAAATAGATTAAGAATTCAAAGAGAATTTCTAATCACTTTAACCAAACCCAATTTTGAGGCAGCATAAGAAATGGTAACATTTTCGGATGTATTTGGAAGCCAAACGGCAAAACGATCATTCTTTTGGAAACCTAAGTCGAGGAGCGAGACTGCTATGTTATCAACTTCTTCTTTGAATGTCTTGTATGTGTATCGTTTTTGTTCACCTAGTCAAGTGAAGACATGATGAGGCAGAAAAAATAAAAAGTCATGAGTTTACTTTTGAAAACGAGGCATTCATGATCAGGATATTTGTCAGCTATTGCATCGAAGCTCTGACTCAATGTTTTGTAAACCATTGGAAATGGAGATGCATGATGATAATAACTTGATATTAATTTTCTCGTAGAATTATTTCGCTTTTGAATTCCAATGATTATCCAAATGCGTGATGGACGGGTAATCAAACGACCAGTGTTCAAAGGAAACATATCTAATACAAATAGACAAATAGTCAGGAAAACAGCACTGGATATTTTAATTATCTTTCATATTTGTTGATCTAAGTACTAGCATTCACTCGATATATTATTGAATCGGTAAAAATTCGTTGTTTCACTTATTATCTCAAGTTGAAAGTCAAGAAAGAATTCTTTTATGTGAAAATGAATATTCAATGTTCGATATGTTTTTTTATTTTACCTAGTAGATGTAATAATCGTAAGTGCTTACATGATCGAAAAAGAAAAAGATATATTTAGGCTTGAATTTATAGCATTAATGTAAAGCGTTTCACGATAAATGCCACGGATATTAATGCGCTGAGTAATGACTCACGCTTGCAGGGATATCAAATGATTAACTAAATGAATAAACACAAGGTATTGTAAAAACAGAGCTGTATTGATGAGTGGTAGCGAAGTTTCAACAGTACAAAGAGCAAAGAACAAAAGAAAGAAAAAAAGGAAATGTTGCGTTACTTTTTCGCTCCTCTGGATCTTTTCTATACTTTTTTCAACTGTCGATTAGAAGGATAGTCCATCCATCAATGAAAAATATAAATATTTAAGTACTTTAACCAATTTGATTTTTTTTCTCTAGATATTGAATCATCGGAAGTAAGCTTTTCATGATAAACGGTGTGTTCGATATGAGTTTCTCATTTTTTGTGTACGAGAAATCAGATTTTGTAAAGAAGAGTTCGCTATGAATATGAGATGATTACTAAAATAAAGGACTTTTTTATTAAATGGATATGAAAAATAGAGAAATACTGACTAGCTTACTACTGGTGTATATATGATGGCGAAAATTTGAGACAGCATCTCAAACTAGTCTTTCGCTTGTTAATGATTATCTAACGTTCTACAGAGATAATTGTTCTTGTCGAAATCATTTCTTGGAGTAGAAACTACATTGATGAATCAAATTCGTTCGATTCATTTGAATATCACATTTGAAAAATGATGTGTTCGTGTGAAAACATTTTCAGAAATTTGCACTACTGATCTGTATTAATGGAGGCCTGTGAACAAAAAGTAAATGAGCAGATACATCTTCGACTACCTGATGGACGAATAAAATGTATCGAAGAAAAAATATGCGTAAATTGAATCAACACGTGTTGCGCACTCACGTTATCTGTTATCTTCACATTCAAATTGCTCTTTTCTTTTCAGGGCTTGTGAGAACGAAAAAACGTACTAACAAATAGAAGACACAAAAGATAAAATGACTTTTAGATTCAAAAGAATAATTATTCTTACTAGCCTAAGAAAGACAAATCAAAATAAGCCATAATTATTATACAACATTGATTGATCTTGCGCCATCAAATGTACTAGATTCAACAAACTCCGACACAATTGAGACATCTACACTGATTTCAAAGTTCTGAAAAGCAAAGTCTCGAAATAAGTATAATGCGAAGGATCATATTCTTTCAACAATTCAAATTTGAATCGTCACTTATTCCATCAATTTAAGACATTTGTCATGCTATTTTCAGTTATTGCCATCTTCAACGTGTTACTGGAAACGAAGTGAACCGCATAAATGTTAGCCTGAACTAAAGAAGATATTGAACCATACTTTTTTCGCTAGAAACAAGTTTCGAAAAGTATCTGATAAATTACATTTACAATACTTGTGTAATCCATAATTTATCTCAAGTTTTTCCAAAATTGAAATAAAAAGATCAAGTAGTTGTTAAGAAGCGTGTAAAAGAGACTGTGCGTGTGTAGGTCTTGTTTTCACGCATACGCACACACTAATAGAAATTGCACCATATCTATATTCCGATATTTCGACGCTAAAGTTACTTAAGACATCATTCAACATGTAGGTATGCTGGTATTTACGAAAAGATAGAACAATTATCCTCTCACTCTCATCCCACAGCATGTACACTCCATCTTTTCAATTGATAAAAAGACATATGTTGACGATTGCATGTTTTATTTTATATTGGCTAATCATTTTTAAAAATTAAAAGTAACTTTTGTTTGTATTGAAGTATAAAGAGCTTATTTCATACATATGACATTTCATAATGAACTGATTTGAGTGATGAAGTGTAAAATCAATATTTGAAATTCTTTTAAAGTTCAAAACGCGAAAATTTGTTATAACTGTGTGTTCATCATGAGCACTGACAGGTTTCAGTCTTAGTTTTCAGCTTTTGATGCTAAATATACCCTAGAAAATTATGACATTCAGATGAATAGTTATTGAGCATAAATAATCCTGCTAAGATTGTTGAATAGAAGTAAAAAACATTGCACAATCGCTTGGTAGGAATATTTTCTGTAATAAAAATCAGGCTCATCAGTCGACATTGATATTGTATTAGATTTTATTGGACTGGAACACTTCAAAAGTTTTTCTTTTTCGATATGTTTCTTTTCGTCGAGTATTCCGAACTTCGATTTCAAGTCGTTGAAATGCACTCGAGAAGCCAGTGGTATTCTTTTGACAGTTTTTTACTCATTGCAGTATATGAAAGTTTAATGACTCCTGAAGAGGGTGCAATGAGTGTGGGTATGAGTGATTAGAAAATACACACTAACACTTCGATATTTCACTTCCGTTTATTAATTCAAACATGAAGCTACGTGTACAACACGAAAGTAAATAGATTAAATATTACTATACTAAAAATCGCATCATAATTTGCTGAAGTTTAACGTCACATAATAAAGCTCCTTGAATTAAAAACTAAAGAAAAAAGACAAATATAACATATAATGAAATTCATATAGACAACAATAAACGGTTTAAAATTGTTTCATAATATTAATAGCATCTTCATATGATATTCGAATTAATGATCTAAAAAAGAAAACGTATGCTTGTTTTTCAAATGAAAACAATTCGACTTCATAGTAGAAGCTAGATATAAGCACTTTCTTATGATAGTCTTTTAATAACATTGCTGTAGCCCTGGATAGGTACCCAATCGTCGCCCTTATTTTAAGCGTTACAATAGTGACACCCAAAAAATAGACTTTCTTTCTTTCTTTGACCAATATTATCTGTCGAAAACAAAATTGCTTAAACAATTTTTGTGCGTTTTAAAATCGGCATAACCAGAAGAACAATCGAGTATTAATAAACTCATAAATAATTTCAGTAAAATCATTTTATTTACTTTTATACAATATATTTTAATCGCCGTTATATCCTAGTACGATAAACGACGAGAGATTTATGAAGCTGTTGTTTGTAAAATTTTGATGGTAATATAAATACAATAAATGTAAGCATAGGTGAAACAAATGAGATAAAATATCCAATAAGAAGTAACCATGTATCATTTGTCGACATCATACATTTCGTTACAAATAAAAGAATTAAACGTGGTAATACAAGAATAATCAATAGAATAGGAGCAGTAAATAAATTTTTGTGTTGTCGTATTTGTTCTTTTAACAATGTAAGAAAACTTTGATTAGTTTAAAGATTTGATTTTTGACGAGATTTTGCTGTTCTGAGAATAACAGCTGATATTAGATTAATGACAAATGGAGCCGAAAAAAATGAAAAGTATGCACGATTGAATTGAATTTTTTAAAACTAGATAAGTAAGTAATAATACACTATATTCGTTTATCATCTTCATTTTCTTCATCAATTAAACGTCGATAAAAAGGATCATAAATAGAAGTACTAATAATGACAATTAGAAGAATAACAATGACTATTTTTGCTAGTTTTTTACTTTTTTTCTTTTAAAAATCAGTAGCTTTTATTATTGTCATTGTTCGTTCAATAGCCACAAAAGCATTTAACCATTGATCCATATTAACACAAACTTGTAAAAGAAAATCAAGCGACATACATTGAATTTGTAAAAATAATCGATTTGATATATGTTCCATTTGTGTAACAATAAATATCTAAAATTTCAATCCAAATATAATCGTTGTAAGTAAAGTAGTAATTGATGAACCTAATAGATACAAACCACAACCAACTTCATATATTATTTTATTGTTGAATGTAATCAAAGCTAAAAATCCATTGATAAATCCTGCTATCATGAAGATTATACATATCACCCCGGAGGGGTTTTGAAGGGTAGGTGTTCGGTGAATAAAATTTTATTCACCGAACACCTACCCTTCAAAACCCCTCCGGGGTGATATGATCAATGCTAAACTAATTTTTACAATATTCGGCTGATGTATAAGACCGATATATGGTTGAATATAACAGCCTAAAATAGTATCAAGTGATAAACCAAATCTACTTGAACTAAATTGACATCGTGTTCCATAATAACATGCTGGACAAATACATATTGATCTTTGGGGGCATAATCTGGAGTGTGTCTTGAAAACATTGACCTAAACAATCGAATTTCATATTATGATTAAAATCAAAATAGTTCGCTAAACATTGTTGTCCATAATCATAACATAAACAAATATGAAGATCATCATAAAAACAAGAAAGATTTGATGAATATTTTTGACATGGTAAATGATAATATTTGATACGACGAAGAACATGCATTTGAACGAAAGTTTCATTAAATAATTCATTTATATGTGGACAATGGTGTTCTCATTGGTATATCAATATTAATAACTTCAATGAAATGAATATGTATCGATTGTGATAAAATAATGCTCTTTCCAAATAATAGAATTATTTTATTATCAACTATTTCACATCGATCACCAATATAGCCTTTTGGACAAATACATACAAATTTTTGATTCGATATCATATATTCATCAGAAGGAATACATTGTTCATCATGTTGACATGTTAAATTCTTATCCATTTCACACATTGTATCGATAAGAAGACATCGATCACCAAATTTATTAATAGGACAAACACATACAGATCGATTGTAAGCTGAGACACTAATACGTATTGAATCATATGAACACATATGAGTATGTTGAATAGTACAATATCGTCCAGACCATCCTCGATTACATTGGCAAAAACTACCATTTTGTAGATTATTTGAATATTAGACACATTTTCCATCAATATATTGAGAATTTGAACAACTCAGAATGTTTTCATTAGTTCGTGGAATGTTTACTACCCAGTCAAGTGAATAATGAAGAAATGGACATTAAAATCCTTTAGTACTGGTAGCGAGACCATTTCGACCATTAAAATGCGTCTTTTTAAATAAATAATGGTGAAATGGCCATTAAAACGAATAATAATTCCTTAACGAATAATTTTGACCATTTCACAATTAAAGACTATGTTTTTCGAAGTTCCAAACTTATTTTTAAAATGTTTATAGCTTCAAAAATTGATGTGGATTATTAAGGTTTACTTATGAAATGTTTTTTTTGTGGAATACTCAAAAGCATTCTTGTAAACTTAACTGCTTAAATGTCTATTGAAGTATGCGACTTCGATGAAATTACACTTAATAACAGCCGAAGAACTATTTTTTGAGTGATATTGATAGTCGGCTTGTAATTCTCGAATCAAAAAGGATCTTTTTCTTTATAATACTGCTAAACTTATAAGTTTTTCGATAAATATTGCATGTCTGTAACTAACAGTGTCATCATTTTTTTTCGAAAGAAGATAGATCTCATTTGTTTTTTAAATGAGCTGTATATCTTAGGCGACTAGCCTAAACGTTTTTCTTCTTTCTCAAAATAAACAATTAGGATTGGAAGGTGCTAAAAATAGTACAAAAGAGCTATCGAAATATCAGCGCCTAATAATTTAAGAAGTCAAATTTCCTGTATATCATGGGAAAAAACTGAACTTTAATTAAAATTTGATATCAACAAAATCAAAGTAGATATCTCTGGTAAAATAAAGTTGAATGATTATAATTTAGGCACAAAATTATTTTTTGTAATGTGAATCACATTATGATGTAAACAACTAAAATGTATCACGTTCTGTTGAAATCAAGTGTGGTCCTTATTATTCATGTTGTTATTTTTGTTTGCTCGACTAAAGTGATCTCATAAATCAAGATAGACAGATTTTATTTTATGTGATGAAGTCTTAAAAAACCAGATGTATAATTTACCTTACATGAATCTAACAATCTATAGAAAATTACACAAAGCTGGGTTTTCAAATAATATTGTAAAAAACGCTCTCGAATTTTACATGATACCGTTCATAATAAAGAATACCTAGGAATATTTTTATAAACTTATTGATTTATTTGACTTTTTTTTTATGAAAATTTTCATTAATTGAAGAAATATATTTAGTTCTTTCTAAAGAGATATTTCTGTACTAGTCGATCATTTAAATATTTTGTGAGCACTATTAGTGTTTTCTGTAATAATATAATACACATTTTTGTATACATGGCTAATTGACACGTCAGGTTCTGCTATAATACAGTATCCTCTTTTCTTACTGTACTCTCTTTAAAAAATATATTCATGTACTGATCGTAGCATTCTCATGTTCTATTTTCTTCTCCATTCTTATAGAATTACCCATAGTAAAATAAATTGCAAATAGAAGCGAATCGTCAAAAACGTGTGTGGAAACGTAGAACGAATAGCGACGTTGACCGTGCAATAAGTTACTTTTCATTGCATATTTAAATATATATCTAGTATAAATTGGGTTTAATCTATCTACTATCTTGTACGATTCAGTTATTTCCTTTAACATTAATATTGTTTTTATGAAGAACAGTATCTAAGAGCAAGAAATCGAGAGAAACATGTGCATGTACACTGACTACTATTGGTGCATTCAGACACAGTGCGTAACTAATATACATGGTGTCTATGCTCACTTCTAGTTTAGTTCAAATAAAGCTATTTTAAATGGTAGATCAAAGAAATACTTTAGATCAGTCATAATTTTTTCTCACTACACTATTATCACATTTCATCTGATAATTGTTGAAAATAGTAGTTAAATCAGAGAGATATATTTTGAGTAACAAATGAAAAATCGAAATTTGTAGCCTGTCTTATTAATTTTTATAAATAAGAAAAGATACTCAGTGTGAATACAGAACAAGTATTGTCGTGCAGTAATCGGAATTTTTTTATCTGAATTATGTATTTAATTATATAAATATCTAATAATATCATATCGATTCGATCTTTTTTAGATAATTTATTCATCTCACCACTATTCTGTGCGCTATATTCAACTATATCTGATTGGCTAATTTTTATTAGTCCAAAATAGTCTTTGTCTCAGAGCATAGAACAATGCTATAACAATAAAAGGAAGGAAAGAGAGCGAGTCCAATTCATTTTAAGGATTGACGCGTCAGTTGTAACATATCGTCGTCTTCATATTCGACATGATCAGGAACACATTTGACAAGCTTAAATAGTACTAACTAAGCAATCTATCTTTCCATTTGTAATATATGAGACTTTTCTGAATCTTTTCTCTGCGCAAAATATTTATTCAGACATCTTAGATTATTCGTAAAATGTGCTAGGACAATCGATCGTCACTCATAATCTTTTGTGTTTTACTGAACAAGATAAACGACACTCATTATCTTTTTATTTAAGTAGAAATAGCATTGAGAAGGAAATTTCTATGAGTAACATGTTACTATACATTGAATATTGACACGTGCTATATATGATGTAACTATATGATCAAATCCTCTGTGTTGTTCCATTTAAAGTAAGAAAAATAGCTATGTTATTCATTTTGATCAGCTTATAATATTTTTCTAATTTTAAATGACTTCCCATAACTTTTGCTGTATCTACCTTTCACACAATCACTGTAGTATACTAAGAATGTCGAAGTAAACACAAAATTACATCATGATTCGTTAAAAAAGATTAAACTGATTTTTTTGTGTGAATAATACGGATTCTTTCAGAGAAAGATTAATATAAATAATTAGCTACAAAAGTCAGCAATAATAAATTGGAGACAGTTAAATACTGTTCGACAAGTTTATTTCAATTTCAATTATTTATTACAATTTAAGTGACGCTTCTTTCTTCGAAGATGATCTTTTCAATGGATCATACAAATCGTACAAATACATTAATCACGAAAACAAAACAAAATGGGAGAAAAATAGAACAGGCTATATAATTCGTTGAATCCAATTTCATAGTGGTACAGAAACTGAGACGGATATAATACCAACCAGGTAGGCGCGAATCTTTTGCATACCACTATGAAATTAGACTAAAAGAAATATATAGCCTTTTCTATTTTTCTTCGATTTTGTTTTGTTTTCGTGATTAATTTATTTGTAGTGTTTTTATGAAACATTGAAAAGATCATCTTCGAAGAAGAAAGAAGCGTCACTTTAATTGTAATAAATAGTTGAAATTGAAATAAATTTGTCGAATAGTATTTAACTATCTCAAATTTATCGATAACTTTCCTATCAACAAAATAGGTCAGAAATAATGCAAAAAAATGACTTGTGTTCTTAACATTATTTTGTTATCTTTTTTAACCATTTTTACTTAATCAAAAGTAATCATTTTAATGCATCACATAAAACCATTTTCAGCCATTTTTTGTGACCGTTTTACATCATTATAATTATGTATATTTTTAAGCATTTTAATACCATTTTACCATTTTGTTCCCTGCCTGGGTATATATGCGACACGATAAACAGGTCAAAATGGAAATTTTATTGGATAAAATAAACTTCCTCGATACGTCAATGAACTTTTTTCATAAATCTCAATATGTATGGCATAATTTTTAGTTTCATTTTTTGGTCGATTTGAGTAAAGCAGATATATATTAAATTTGCTTTTACAATCTCTCATTGACAAATAATTGAATTGTTCATATGAATGAATAATTCTTTCTTCACTATCATCAATAAGTGAAATAATTATTGCAAATAATGTTGACCAAGAATCTGATAATGCTCGCAATTTAATGGTCAAACTCACTCGTTGATTATGATATTGACACATATTACCCTAAAAACTAAGCAGACAAAGACGTGTATTTCTTGTTAAGTTCTTTTCATTATTTAACCAGAGGCGTAAATAAAAATCATGATGACATCGAGATTCATGTTGATGAAACATTTCGATGCGAGATGAACTTGAAAATATGGGTTTTATCATATTTTGAGTTTGATCTTCGACTGGTTTACTCATTCCATTCAAGAAAAAATATTTAATTTGTTGTTTTTTCTTTTCTTTTGTTTCGTGACATAAAAACTGCTCAACATCAGAACGAATAGATGACTGACGAGGGAGCGTTCCCAAGTGATTAAAAGCTTTTGAGCTCATATGTTGCCCATTAGGTAGGGAACCACTAGATTAGAGAAACCTCCAAAGGATTCGTGCCCATATTGAGATTTGACAGAGATATCGAATTTTTAGTGGATTTTTCCTGCTGGACCCTAGTTCTACAGCAAAATCATATTTTCGAATTTCGATCTGAAACTTTGCCCAAATGAAGGCTTCGATTAGAGTAGCTTATATAGAAAATTTCAGAATTTTTGGACATTGCATTTCCAAGATATCAATTTTTGAAAATATAGGCACTTTTCTATAGATAACATGGATACTTTGAAAGATTGATACCTTGGAGATGCAATGTCCAAAAATTCTGAAATTTTTTATACAAGCTACTCTGATCGAGGCCTCCATTTGGGCAAAGTTTCAGGTCGAAATTCGAAAATATGATTTTGCTGTAGAACTAGGGTCCAGCAGGAAAAATCCACTAAAAATTCGATATCTCTGTCAAATCTCAATATCGGCACGAATCCTTTGGAGGTTTCTCTAATCTAGTGGTCCTCTACCTAATGGGTAACATATGAGCTCAAAAGCTTTTAATCACTTGGGAACGTTCCCTCGTGAGACGAAAGACAAATACTGTTATATGTAGGAATATTTGTTCGATTTTTTTACATAAAATCTTTCATTATCTCCATGATCACAATTTATTGAATCATCACATAGTTGATAAAAATGAATACATGGTTGATAACTTTTTCCCATGCAGTAAAAATTATCGAAAAATGCTACTTGATACTTTTCTCGACATAATGTTGGCTCGTCAGTAGCACCCAGACAATCGATCTTACCGCCATTTGCTTGGTTAACAGGAAGACAAATAAGTTCATTCGTATGAGGTGAAACACATTTATGATAACCTAAAGAACAATTTAATGTTGAAGATAAATCACAACCAATTTCATCTTCATCGTGTGAATAATTCTATATACCATCACAATTAGTATAAATGTTATTACATGACCATTGTTCACATTCTGTTTCATTTTGTCCTTCGATAGTTATCGGAATCAGTTCAGTAAATTCATCACAAATAGTTTGAAATGAAATATTCTTTCTGACATAGTGTATATGAATATCTTCATCTTCACACCAATGTTGATCTTCAAGTTCACATTGACAGACTCCATTTCTAACAAGTGATTGATGTATGTATTTATAAGCTAATTCACATTAGACGTGATGTTTTAAAAGTTCTGTTAAATTAGCGTAAATGATTTGTGTTATATTTTCATCATCTTTGTTGAAGGCAATCCTCTCTGTTGTCCACGAAACGACTCATAGGGATACATTTTGACGAATTAAAACACTGGTACATATTTGATCTATTACAAATCGCAGAATTATAATTAGTAATTAGATTAAATCTCTTCAAATCTTGATATAGTTTGAATAAAGGTGGTTCATATCTATGCTTCCATTGAGTGGACAAAATCATTAGAGAGTCTAGCATATCAGGATGAAATCATGTTTTATTTTTGAATAAGAGCTTTGGACGATCAATAAAATATTTATCATAGTAAGAATTGTTATAGCTTATGTAAGGTAGTACAGAATTGCTATCGATCAAATATAATGAGCCATCATTTATGTGTGCGAAGTAAATGTGACCAAAAAAAAGAGGAATATTCGGAATGTAAAACATATCTGGACATGTGTTGTTAATGATTTCTATACATGCTGGTTTTTCACAAATTCCAGTACACAATGGCTCTTCTGAATCTGGTACTTCTAACACGCATTTGAAAGCTGACCAACATTGTTCAGATATCGAAATGTCTTTAGCAGAATAGATCGTTTTCAAAAGTAGATTTTTGCGTTGGTATACACAAGAACTTGTCACGAATGTATACTAACATATCTTTTCTTCATATTCAAATGATGGTATACCTCTATTGCATTTGTAACTATGTTAAGGGCTCATTGAAATTTCGTCAGAACCATCAAGACAATCAGGAGTGTTACGATCATCTCGAAAAAATGACTGTAGTATACATTGTCCATTAGTACATCGATATTCATTATCATTACATTCATTCATTTCAAGTTGTCAACAATGTTCTTCATCAAATTCATCATTAAGACAATCATCCTGTCCATTAAAAATTTCACTGCAATCTAAACATGCTGGAAAAGGACCACGATTACATGGTAAATGAGTGTAACAGGTAAACTTAGTAGAATTATATTCATATGTACGATAATAATCATGAATAATTTCAACTAAAGATGAATGATTTCGATGATAATAAGTCATTTCATATTGACACATAGAACCAAATCTTGGTAATGTACAATTATAGAAAACTTGTGTTTCTAGAGATTTATCATTTGATGTTGATAATTGGTTTAAATACAATTAATAACGTTCAACAACATCTATTGGTGCTGATCAAAGATATAATTGTTGACTAGTAATATTCCATTTCGAAAATTCAGCAAAAGTAAACTTTGGAAAGAAGTCGTTATTCTCGATATTGAAATTCCAATGGCAATTCATTCATACAATAAGATATAATTTCACGATTAACATTTGATTCATCAATAGAAGCAACAACCTGCAAACAATCGTGTTGTAATATATTATGATTCTTACTTTCACTTATCCAATCTGTATAATGAAGATTGATTTGAGGTGTAGCAACAATCAAGTTTAAGAGAATGAAATTGAATAAATATCTTGTATGATACATTATCTACTTATAATGCATTGACAAATAAAGACATTAATGACTATTTATAAAGTTTCTATGTAGGTGATCTTTTTTTTTATAAATGTCATTAGGCACTGTTGACATTATTACAGTTCATACTAGACTATAAACAATAACATTTATTCCTGCTTGATTGACGTAGTTTTTATATAGTTGCTAATAAAAAATGTGAATTCAACAGCTTATCCTCTTATGGATAGGTTTCTCGATATGTTAAGCTTAAAGTTTTGAATGAAATAAGCACACATAAAATATATGTAAGGATAAAAATAAACGATTTTCAATAATTTTCATTTAATAAAGCAATTATTCAATGGGCATCATTGTTATTCATTACATACCACAGTAGTAGGTGAATAATCAATTCAAAATGAAATTAAAGATAGTGGTTTATATCTTTTTTTGGAACTAAGAGCTTAAAAGATATATAACGTATTTTAACATAAAATATCATTTGTTTGATGATAAATTTAGAATTAGAGAAACAAAATAATGTTAATTTATCAATATTAATTCTTTAATTTATTAACTGATAAACAGATGTGTATGTTAATACGCTTACGGGCAATAATGCAGACTGTAACTAACTTTATTGTAATTTTTTTACAGTGTCTGTGATAGTAGTGAAACACATTCAATTTTTCTTTGTCGTTTTGGTTTGGCACGGCCAGAAGTTTTCGACGACTCTTCTTAAAATATTCTTAGTTTCGAAAGATTTCAATATGAATCGGTATCAATGAGACACACTCAAATCATGAGATTTCCTTTAAAAAAACTTGGGTATAAAAATTAAATATTATTTTTGTAGATCCACACCAGGCCACTCGAAGAAGCTCTAGCCCAAACTTGGCAAGGACCCATTGAAACAATATTGGGTGTGGATTCCTGTCTAATTGAAGACAAGATCATACTTACATATAGGATGTCGAAGTCAAACATCAGGTTGCTAGGCTCTTGATACAAATAGATAGTAATAATCAAATGAATTTATGGTAAATTGTGATCATTAATTCTTGATAGATACATGTCTCTTTTTAAGAGGACTTTCTTTTCTGATCTGGAAGTCATTTTGTTTCCGTTATTTTTTGGTTTTTTCATCGCTCTAAATATGTTGACTTGTTCTCTTTTTGATCAGCCGAAAACAGTGTGAGTACAGGTGTGGTGTCTGAGTGTTGGTTGGGAGTGTGTGAATGTAGTTTTTTATTCTACCGAAATCCACATCCACCCACCCTTAGTTTGTTTATTCATTCAATGTTAGGGATTGCATCGCTTTAGTAAAGGATATAGTCTGAAATAAAAAATTGTATTTGTTGTTATTTTCCTTTTTTGTCGTTGATTACCACTTCAAATCCAAATGTTTTTTTTATCCTTGTCACATAAAAGAATTTGTTTTAACAATTTTTGGAACAAGAAATGTATGGAGTCGACTTCATATTATAATAGAATTACAATTTAAACGAAAGTGGAAAAATGAAGTTTTGAAGAATTTCAAATTCTTTTTGTAACTGCACCAGAACACTTGGCATGGATGTTAAACTCATGTTACAATAATGTTTTAGTACATAACAACTTATTTTAATTCAAAAAAATAATTCCTACCAAATTATTAATTTTCTTAAGTTTCTAGTTTACAATCTTTCTCTACATTAATTTCTATCAATCTTATTATCCTCAAAAAATGCATTGATGATTTTCTTTTCTTTACAAATGTTCAATATTCTTCTATCAATTTCAATGAAATAACAATAGATTATTTCTATTAAAATAAGATTTACATGCCTTCGCTATTTCCATTATTAACAAAGCCTTAGTAACATTTAATGTTTTTTCTTTTCAAAAATGATCAATCATGTTAAATATTGTTATTAAATAAAATCTATACTTTTTTGATGATAACCTCTGATATAAATTAAACAGTTTTATTTGAAATATATATGTTTTTAGGTCACTTTTTTAAAGTGTTATGTACATATCTTTATTTTTTTTAATATGAATTTTAATAATGATTGACAAATAAAACACCACTGGTATTAAATGTCTGACAGAAGGACTGCTACTGATTTGTTTCAATTATTTGATCAACTTCATCTAATATTAGTGTCATTTCAGTGTGTTCAATAATTGCATCAATATTATTAACATATAATGGCAGAGATTGACCATGAACTGCAAAAATAGTCATAGACGAAAGCCAAAGAGTTATATTAAGAAATCGTTTCACAGCATCGTAGTAACTATATTTGTAGAGAAGATATTTCCATGCTATTTCTGCATACTTATTTTGAATCTCTAAAATATCAATAGAATTTGTTAACTCGTTTGAGGTATTTGAATAATAACAACCAGTATTTTCAGAAAAAGCAAACAGTGAAATTGACAGTTTAACCAATACAATATCTGGATCAATGAATTTCTTTGCCCAAGCATGAATATCTACTGCAGGTTTTCCAAACTTTATGGTTAATGCGTTCAAGAAAGAATCGAGAAGATTTAATCGACAATGTACCACAATAAATGCAGCACCCATGCAGCACACATTGTGAGCAGCACTATGAAGTATTATATAACGATTATCAGATGATAATTTACGAAGATCATCATTGGAACAAAGATACATCTCTGCTGTTTTGTAAATAGATGCTAAGAATTCATCTACAAGTATTGGGTAAATCATATAATTAGATTGTGCAACATCGTGTGCATCTATCAAACGTTGACTGAACGGTAAAATGTGAGACTCTTGATAACAATTGAATAAATTTCTGAGAAGTGTCCATTGATCAGTAGTTAATAATGATTGATCTGATGATAAAAGATTCAAGGTTGGAAGCTAATAAATAAATAACAAAAGATCGCTTATATTTACAATACAATTACTCGTAACAATATTATCAACAACTCTTTAATCAGATATTGAGCTATATAGTAAGATAAGAGTGTTTTAAAAATTTTTTTACTTATATAAAAATAAAAATTTAAGAAAACGAATCAAATTGATAAGATTTGAAATAATTTAGTCGATATAACAATTCTATATAGAAATAAATATTATAAATTATTATTTCAATATCGTGAAATCTTCCTTAAAAACCCACTTACAATATATTTTTCACTTAGAATGGTTCATTTGAGCTGAGATTTTCAGAAATAATTTGTTCTAGTGAGAAACACTGCTGATAAAAATTTCAGTCCGATATGTCAAATAAGAATAAACTTATGGCTTACTTACAGTCCATATATGTCCTTGAGGAGAATCTTTATAACATTTTTATGATCATTTTAGTATATACGATGTTAAAATAAGTAAAAGATGAATTTAGACATGAATTTTTTTATTCAAATCCAAAAGAAAAACCTACTAAAATGTCATATTCATAATATATATATATTTGAATGGAATGTTTAACAGCATGTCACAGATAACATAAGATAGCATCATCTGTTGTGTTTAAATTATAGAAGAATGTGTATTCAATACTGATGCAAGCAAACAAGTAGTCTCCACAAAACTAAAAAAACTTTAAAAAAAAACACGAAAATTTCTTGGCAAAAAAAAGTTCGTAGGATCAAAATTTCTTTTGAAAATCTCTTCAAATTTAACTTTTTTTCCAAAAATCATATTTGATTTTGACAAAGAAAACTTCGTTGCATCCTTCTATTCCTATAATAAAAACTTAACTTCGATTATCTGAGGGAAGGAGGCCTAAATGATCAGATTTAGATTGAAGAAATGAAAACAGATTTTCCTTTAATAATTTTATTTCTGCCAATTTTATTTAATAATTTTACCTTCGTTGGTTGATATCGTACTTGTTTTTTAACTAAAGCGTTTGTTTTTGGTTTATTGTATCTTGGTAATTGAAGTTTATCAGTAGTCATTCCACATTGAAAACATTTAGTAAGTCGACATGCTGGACAAACATGACGAGTATTTATATTAATTTCACATAGACCATCAAAATCACATATAGATGCTTCCTAAATAAATTAGAATGAGAATTAAATGAGAAGAGAAGATTAATCTAACCGATCCAATCTTAGCATTTCGTTTAAAGAACATTTTACATGCATGACATGAAATAACACCTAAATATGAACATTTAGTAGGAACGTCGCATATGCAACACTCATATGAAAGTATTTTGGTTGTTTTAATTTTGCTCGGCATAGATGGGTATCGTGTATTATTTGGTGTCAGTCTTCTAAATAAAATTCATCTTACACTAAAATCAACGTATTGATAGAATGAGTAAAGAAAAAAACAAGTTTGCGTCTATATATAAAACAAGGTCATTCGTGTCGTGCGGGCATTTTTTTTTCTTATGTGCAGAACGCAAAATGTTCCCATGACTCTAACCATTTTAATATCTGCATAATTTTACCTATTTATGTTGTTCTTGACAAAAAGAAAAAATCAACAGTCTGCTGTTTTTTTTTCATTATCTTCTCGATTCTTATTTGTTTCATGTTTCATGTGTGTCGAGATTGTTTGCACAAAGTTGTAAAATAAGTATAAAAAGATCATTAGAATCATAATATTCATCTAGGATTAGGAGTGATCAATTTACATTTACGAAAATTTGATAAATTCAACAATAAATTTTAAAAAAAGGTTAAATTTATTTTAAATTTCAATTAGATTTACATGATTTTCAAAATTTTTAAAATTATTTTCATTTATTCAAGTCTAGTTTAAATCAATATAAATTCAATTTAAAGCAAATAAAATTTAACTTAAATTCATTTAAATGCGATTTAAATCCATTCATACGAATTCATATGAGATTTAAATCCAAATAAATGGATTTAAATGCATTTTAAACATTAAAATTTATGTAAATCTAATTTAAAGTTAAAATAAATTAACAGACGGTCTTCTGCCCTATCAAGGATAATAGAAATATTTTAAAATAAAACATAATGAAGAAAAAAAAGTAGTCGTGCTATTTACAATACTTACCAATTTTTTTGTTTATTTCACAGTCAAAAACAATGATAATTGAATGTAAAGTTTGTTGACCTTCAATCAAATATTCATTTTTACATGGCATATCATGTCATTTACATATGTTGTATTTTCAACGACAGGGTAAATAAAGATAGATGAATGGATAATATGCATTTATATGACTGTAACGAAAATGAGTGATACACTGTTTCGTTAATACTGTCGTATATATTTTATTGTTTATCAACTTTACGAAACTGGAGGAGTACAGTACTATCGGTATTCTCCTCGGTGTACGATGTTCATTACACTTCTTCATCACTCCAGTTCTGTCTGTTTTACATTGAACACGAGCTTATATACGAGAGAGGAACAAGAAGAAGAGAGAAGTGAGAACAGAAGGAGCGTCTAATCGCAGTGACTGAGTGCTCTCACATTAATTAACCGATAGACGATGCACATGGGTCGTGAACTTATTATCGGTATAATGACATTTTTTTTTCCAGAAAGCATAAAAATGTGATTTTGATGGTCATTGTGAAATAAATACAAATAATTATCATGTAATGTTCTCATTTTCAATTTGTCAAATCTTTTTTTTTTCTCAAGTGGAATGCAAACTGAAATGATTCGATCCTCTAGATCAAAAAACGACAAAATAAATAAAAAAAAAAGGAAAAGAAATAACGAGTCTAGTATAAATCACATCAAAAATTTTAATCAAACTAATTAAATGAACCTGAACAGATGAGACTATTTAATTATCATATTTAAAGTAAATAATAAATGTTCGTATGAGTGAAGCTTTAAATAGTACCTTAATTATTTTCTTTAACTCTACAATGTTTTACGAAAAAAAATGTTATAATTACTTGTAAATACAAATAACGCTCATCCTTCAGATTCGCTGGTTCCATTTTGAAAGAATGGCACTTTATTGTCAATGAAAAACGACTCATCATGATCTCGTGAGGTTTTAGTCCTGAAATATTTAGGAACTGGAAAAAACATAAATTTCTTTTAACTTGACCCGGTGAAAAGTATTGTTCACAAATAAAAGACAAGTTGTCAGTAAATTCATACTTCTTTTCTTCATTTTGATCTAGAACACGTTTGAAATGTATCTTAGAGTTTCATGTTGTAAACAGTACTTGCAAAGAAAAGTAATTTTTCAATTCTGTAATACCAGAAACGATAATATACTTTTTGAAAAACACAATTATACACAGAGTTGCACCAATAATTTATTTTCACAGTTTTTCTATTTTTATTCGAGTATGTACATCTTTACTGAGAGTCTTTTTAGCATGATACAAACTTTCATTATAGCAATTGTTCCATACTCATCTACACACTATAATAGTAAAGATCAGATATGAGTTCAATAGTAGAAAGACTAATCAATGTCAAAATTAAAAAATTGCAATCTAGAATAGTGTTCCAGGTCTCCTTGTCGATGTTTCAGTTAGAGCTCGACATTCTTCATCGAGTATTATTATGAGATTTCCAGTATGTAGTATCCTATTTTGAAAAGTTGAAATATACTAATGGAGACGAGAAGCTCTAAGCTACTCTAAGAAAATTTGAATAAGTCAAGAATGCAAGTAGTTAGTGATCTGTAGTTTTCAGCAATCGAAAGAAAACGTACGTGAACGTCTTTTAAGTCAATAATATATAGGACAAAATCAGTTTGAAACCAACGATTTTCGTAAAACATTCAAAAAAATGTATAAAAATCATCTGTTATTCCGATGAAGTTTTGATAACAAGTAAAAAAAAAATATTCTTAAAAATCAATAAAATTCCATATTATTGAACTATAGATCTCAAGTTCTTCTATCTATGAGGTATGTCAAAATCAAAATTTCACCGAAATGACAGACGATTTTGTTCTATATACTTTTGGAGAAAAAGACGTGCTCAAATGTTCTCTTTCTATTGCTGACAATTGTAAATTACCAGCTGTTTGTGTTCTCAATCTATTCAATTTTTAACCAAGTATTTTTAAGTGCCATCTCGACATTAGTTGAGTCACTCTTGGCGAGAATTCGTCTAAGAGTGTGTTCAAGTAGAAATTGACGAGCTTTATCGAATAGCATAATTAGAGTTTCAACAGCTCACGTAGTTTCTGCAAAAAATTATGTATGAAGGTATTTTGGTATATAACTCAATTTTGTTTCCGTACGTCTGTAGAAGATAGATTCTGAAACTCATTCTAGAAACTATTTATCTATTGCATAGAATCAAGGTGATTTTCGTAAAAGTATTTTTGGACAATTTATAAATGACGACCTGTACAAGAGCTTGCAAACATCGATTTGTGCTACAAAGTTAAACATCATTGATGTATCACGTGGTATTTTATTAATAGACAGGCTCCACATGTATATCAAAATATTGACTCGCATTAGATTTTGAAAATTTGACGGAAGAATGTTTTTTATGAAAGTTCAAGGTGTAACCTTGCCGCAATGTGAGGTTGCAAATCTTCTTTTGTTTTTTTTCTAAATGGTTATTCCATCAGAGAAAATAGATTTAATCTAATCAATCTTTTAATAACAGTTGTTTACGATTATTAATCTTCGAACATGAAATTATCACTTAATCACAAACTGGATCCCATATTTCCTTATGCTACCGTTTCATCTTGTTCTGACTGCTTAAAACAAGTAGCTGATGCTCATTATTAAGATACTTTCATTCACACTCTGCTAACGACGTAGCGTCTGACTCATATCTAAGACAGATATTTATATATATATATCGCATCAGTTTCCGTAATCGTTTCAACTTTATCAGACTTAGGAGTCTTGCAGAAATCGACATAAGGAGCTCAAGAAAATATCGACAATTTCGAACTTTTTCGCTGACAAATTAGTATCTTTTGAATTATAGTGAGACTAATTATACTATTCTATAGAGCTCATCGAATAAAACTTGAAACACTGAATAACAAGTCTGAAACACAGTTCTAGACGAATCACGTGTGAGTGACATCAAACGTTCTTTTATGTTTTGATCACATCAAAATGATAATGACAAGTTTTATTGTAAAGTTGAAGGATCGTCTCGAATCTATCAAGCCACGACTTTGTGTAATTGTAAAACGCAACGTTTTCCATCATAAAAGACTTCGTCGACAATAAGGAAAGACGAACGAAGCTATACTAACTATATCGATGACGATTTCAGAACATGCTGGTTGAACAAAATGAACAACTACAACATAGTTTTAGCCTTCGATGATTTGTAGGAATGTGGATGTCTTGAATTATACCCATGATTGTGTCACCAGATGAGATAAAAAGCAGGCAAATATGTCAATTAGAGAGTGTGTGGGTGTCAATGATAAGTGTGTACACGATACTCACACTCACACCCTAACGATTCGACTTTTTCTCATTCTCTCTAAAACTCTTTTTAGACCTATTTCCCTCAAATCAACTTGATTTTAGTGAAGCTTGTTTTTGTTAAAAAAAAAAAAAACAAGAGAAAAACGCAAAAAATCAATTGGAGAAGATTAGAGAAAAATAGAAAAAGAAGAAAATAGGGGATATTGATATGCCACGCATAAAGCATATTATAAAAAGGCGTAAAATAAATTCTAGCAATGTATTTTTCATTCGGAAAAGAGAAGCGGACATACTTCAATCAACAAAATTTATTGTTTTTGCGTTTAACAACCATCAGTCCCAGTGATTGTTGTTAAAAATGTATTTCCGAGAACAGTTTTGACGAGAGTGCGTAGGTCATCTTCTCTGTCATACTCACACCCACAGCCTCTTTCAAACAAGTTAAAATTTTTTTCTTGACTTTGAATGATTCATTGTCAAATTCACTACGAATTGTTGTGTGCGTTCTAATATATTACTCTTGTTCATTACTTAGCATTGTATTTTCGAACCTGTTCGATGATCACTGTGTAAGCAGCAGTCGAAGCGCATCGTATAGAGCTTGAAATTATTGACACTTTACCATATATTTAGATCTTAATGGATCGCTAATTTTTCATCGCTGCATAATAAATTTATTCCGTATTATCCGATGTCCTCATTGTATAGGTAAGACAGCATGAGTGGTGAACTAAATATTCATAGTTGGTATTCTGATGTTGACTAAGCACTTGTCAGTTAAAATTAAAAACTTTCATGTTCATATTAAGAGAGCATTAAAATCGTGAAAAAAGGGCGAAATAGACTAACTTCAGTTCTTTATATATT